TTGCAGTGCAGACGCCCTCAACCATTGGAAGTGTGTAGGACATTCAAACCAACATCCAGCTCAAACATTAAATAATTCTGTTATTAAAGTGCTGAGTGTAAATAGGAGCACAGGACTAGGCAGATGTGTTCGTGCATGAAGCAAGGTTAAACACTGAGTAAATGGAGTTTCACACTTTCTGGAACTCCGGAATGCTCTTAGAGGGTGTTTCTAAGTACAGACTCCAGCTGTGCAGCCTTTGAAAAGGAGAGGTGGTTAAACAAGTTAATCGTACTTTTTCTTATCAGATTAATTGAAACCAATTGTAGAAACTTCTCAGTTACCACAGGTGCTTCAAAGCATTTCTGATCTTAGCAGGTAAATACAGGAACTGAAATACTTGTATACTTAAAAGGAAAAAAACTAGACAGTAATGGTTCTAAGAAATGAAAGCAAATACATGCTGATAAAGCCAGCTAGCATCAGGGAGACTTTGTATAGTGTATGACAATAGAAGAGAAAATAACTGCTCATCCAGTTTACTGGGACACTCTGCTCTAGCCAGCCACCCTCAAAGGTAACAGTTTCTATATTCGTTTTCTTTATTAAATGTCTGTGCCAGTTGATTTTTCTAATTATAACAAGTGTGCTTCCAGCTGAGCTAAGTGAAGGAAGACTTCTCAAAAACTGAAATAGCTCAAAAGCACTCGAACTAATCACCTGAAACTTGGCACTGGCCAACGTAATATTTTGCGTGGTGATCACAAGCCACAGAAACTTGTCAGCACTGCCAAATCCTCTTTGTTGTGCACAGGACCCAGGGAAGGAGCTTCGGTGTTCAGAGAAGGATCAGCACTGGCCAGCACAGAGACTGCGGGTTGACACTTATTACAGTCTGGCCAAATTCAGGATTGCAAATTAATCCCTGAAAGCGACTACAATGCTTTGAATTTGGCCATAGTGTTCAGCAGAGAAGGAAGCTATCAGAAACTCTCCCAGTAAGGATTACAGCAGCTGCAGTCTTGAATCCCAAGCCATGCCCTGCATGCACCAGGTAGGCATGAGGTGTATTTTAATAATGGAAAATGATAATGTTCCACTTCTAGCTAACAGCCAGAATTTTTTGAAGCCAGATTGTCTTCAAGAAATGGCCAGACTAACATCCCCTGCTGATCTAGTCCTATTTCACTCCTAGCAATAGTAAGTAAGCCATATACAAGCATTGTCCAACCAGTGGTGGAAAAATGGAGCCTCAAAAGAAGCTCCTTGCTGAAAATGATGTTCCAGAAATGTACCTGAGGCAAAGACTCCAGACAAGAAGCTCCTCAGTCCTGGGCAAATTCAGCTCTAGGTGTACCTGCATCTGGGAAGGTACCGCAGCGTTCCTCACTGCTAATAAAACCACTGCACTGCTGCAATCCCAGCTGCCTGGGAAAAAGTGCAGACACTTCTGGTATCCTTTTTTGTGGGCCTGCTCCCGGAGGTGCTGGGTCACGAGACAAATACTAAGCCTTTATAATACACAAAGCGGGAATGTTTGTTCCCAGCCTGGCAGAGAATTTTTCCTAGACAGTCAAATTTATACTCCAGAAGTGTCTTCACTACCCATTTTCTTTTGGAGGATGAAGTACTAAATAGAGGGCTGTGATAGCAGCAACAGAGAGAAGGGAAGGCTGAAGCTGCTTGAGCAGAGAGTGTCCCCAGGGCGCAGGGACTTGTGTAGCTCCTTTGTCCAGAGTTTGCACGTAAGGGGTTTTGCTGTGCTCGCAGCACCTGTGATTTCTCACCACTACTCTCCAGTGTCAGCTGCTGGGCTGTGCCAGGTGCGCTGCCAGCAAGCGGTGCTGTGACAAAGCACAGCAGGGAGCCCGTGGCTGTTTCTCGAGGACCGGTAACTGCGCAGCGGTAGCCCACAAAACCACATTCCTGCGGCCTGGCACCTGGGGCCGGGTTACGCAACTGGCCAGCACAACTAAATCAAATCGCAGCCAACCCCGGGGATATTTCCCTCTCCCGTTCCTCCCACGTTTGGGAGCTGACGTTTTCCTTGCAGCCGCAAGGGCGGTATCTGAGGCGGCACTGACCGGATCTTGCACGTTGCCCGTTGGGTGCGATCGGCCGACTGGGAGGGAGCGGGAGCTAGAGCAGAGCCCGGCCTGCAGGGCCTGCCGCAGGCACCGCCAGACCAGGGGGGCGCGGGGAGGCTGGGAGTACGTTCCATCCAGAGCCTGCAGGGAAAGGCTGCTCAGCTGAGTTAGTTTGGCAAGTAAGGAGGAAATGTCCCGCTCTGTCAGCTGCCGCTGTTGCCACCAACCCCCGGATTCTTCTGGACGCCACAGGCCGTCCAGGAGCATCATCTGTCACCTCCCTGCAGAGCAGGGAGGGGAGTGAAGGCAACACCTGATCTAAAATAGCCAAGTGACCAGAAATACCAACCTTCTTTTACTGGGGCAGACCCAGCAAGGAGAAGCCAAGCCTGCAGCGTTGCCTCGGGCAAGTCACATCGATTCCTCCCTCCTACTGCGGCGGGGAGGAAAATAATGCTGAGAGGGGTCTCTAGTGATTTAGCAGCTTTCACTTCAAAGCTCTGCTGTACCCGTTACTTACATTGCAGGCAACAGTTGGTACTTGCTGAAACACCAAAGGCTCATGCCTTGGTACGTTTTCTTTAGAGGTGATATTACTAGTTCAGCATTTTTGTCCAGCACTTTTTGTTCTCTGAAGTTTCCCTCCTCACAAACGTGCTGACACATGTGCGCGAGGCAGATGCCTTCAGCCAGGCAGCTCGGCCGAGGCCCTGCAGCAAATCTCCTGGGAAGAAAGCCCTCCCAGCCCAGGGGCCGCAAGACAAAGCAGGACATAAAGTGAGACTTAACTGCTGGAGTCTGTTCCGTGCAAACAATATTCAATTTTTTTCCACAACTAAGATGTACTACTAGGTTTTTAGTTAAATGCAATCTCCATAATCAGTAAAATAATAAAATGTGCAAGTCCCTGCAAGCATAAACATAAATACGGGGCATGGGACAGCCGTACATGGGTGCTCTGTCTCGCACACTGAAGAGCAAGTGTCAGGGTGAGGTGAGGCTTTTCAGCGCAGCACAAAGTCCTGGCAAAATGTTTCCATCTGTGGCCTCTCTATCAGGTGGAGGGTGACCGAACCCAGTCGAAGTGTGCGAGACTTGAAGTGTTTAGTATTTAGGTTCCCCCAATGAGCTTTCCAATACAGCTGCATGGTGCGTCTATTTTTTACTCCAAGTTCCAATTTTCATATTTTTTTTCCATTATGTGACTGCAGCACAGCCCACAGCTGACTCTAGCTGCTCACCATTTCACAGATGTCTCCTTAGAATGTCAAAGCTGAACAGTAACCAGGGGAATGAAACAGTAAGGAAACCGTTTCCAAAAATAACGAGAACAAGGGGGTCTGAATGAGCAGTGTCCTCCACTAATTAATTTTGATGTTAGGAAACATTTGGGAATTGTGCCATGTTGAATAGCAACATGGATCCAACAAAATTTTCACCCATTTTAATCTGAGGTGAAGTATGCCAAGGAAATACCCATCAAAAAGGGAGACTAGTGAAGGATATTCATGTATTTCACCTCACTGAAACAGTAATAAACAGCTCTTGCAGAAGCATCGCCAGCACCGCGCAGCAGAAAACCATCACGGGTAGCCACGATGCACTGAAATCCCTCATCCCGGCAGGGAACAGAGCGTGCAGCTGGATAGCCAGGGCCAGGACACAAACCCTCTCCCACCCTGCAGATATTTCACCTTCCCATTTTGATTTATGCTCTTACTTACCAGTGTGGTGTGTCAGTAATTGGGACAGGGCAAATAAAAGGATCCCAAGTGGACAGTTACTGACTTTACATTACTCGGTTATGTGTGGCCACATGTTAAAAAAAAACCCCAAAAACAAACCACCAAAAAACCCCCAAACATATGAAAAACTTGGAAAAAGGTATTGTAAGAAAATGAACAGCTGCTTCTCTCCAGTGTAGTTTTAGAAAGTATATAGCAGCTATATTACAAACAGATGTTTTTAGAACAGATAAAAAAGAGCTGGTCTTCATTTTAGTTTTTTGGTTGGGTGGGCTTTTTACTATTAATTTTACTAGTGCATTCTGCTCCCACATCGGTTGTTCTATTACTCCTGGACATCTCCACCAAAACCTCTCGACTTTCCCAGCAGAAGCTGACAAAAGAGGACCCTTCCCTCAATCTTGGCTGGGCAAACAAAAAAATGAGGTGGGCACAAAGAGCCTTGCAGCAGAACGGGCGCAGCCGAAATAACCCGACAGTTCCATGTGGGAAGTTACACTCTGTGGACACTTACACCGCCCGGCTTTTTGGACACAGGTGTTTACAGCCTCCAGGGTGGTTTAATGTGGCAGCTCTCGGGGGCGCCGAGCGCAGGCTCCGCTCGCCCGCGGCGCCAGCTCCCGTCTCTCAGAGGATTCTGGCCGCGCCTTTGCGGGGCAGCTCCCGGGGGAGGCTCCTGCAGCTCCTGCTGCTGTCGGCTGTGGACGCCCCGGCGGTGCCGGCTGAAGCGACGCGGGCGCGTGGTCCAAAGTTCCACGGTCTCTGGTTCCACGTGTGAGTGGTTCATAAGCCATCCGAGCTCTATGCATTTAAACTTGGATCTTGAAAGCCAACACTCTCTAAAGCTCTTATTTTACTACAGTGTAGCTTTTGGTTTTGAACTCCAGAGTATATTGTGCCAGTAAGTCTTGTATATCCGTGTGCCACTGTGCAATTCCAGAGTCTTCCTCGCACGCTGGCAATTCCTAGGAAACCGAGAATCCCTAACTACTGCTGTGGCAAAACCGCCTTCCTAAAAGGAGGCTTGATTTTATCCGTTATCCAACTTGGGTTTAAAACAAACCAAAGCAAACAGGTAATTACTTGCCTGTGTCCTTGTGTGCAGAACTGCAGGGGTAAGCCACACGAAGGCAATTTTGGCTAACCAGCAGCTCACAGACTTCCCATTTAAGCACAAAGCAATCATAAATCCAAATCACACAAGAAAAAGGTTTATTGAAAAATAAAGTTCTCCCTAGATTTTTTCTACAACAGTGAAAACAAAGCATTTTTCTATGCCATTAAAGTACAGACATTTACTTTTCTAAAAAAAAAAAAAAAAAATTAAATTAAAAAAATTCCATCCCGTTGAACCCCAGTAATTTGACAGTATCTGAACCACTGTGTTCTGTTCTTTCTAATTCAAACTGCTTGAACATAATATAGTGGAACACAACCATTTAAATAAAACAAAGGATCAACCTTCTAGGAGAGAATTCAAACCAAACACATACAGTACCAGCCTGACCCTGAAGTTCTTATGTACAGATAAAAACTCTCACTGACTCCAAATTATTATCTGCAAAAACCAGCAATCTTATTTCTACAGATTTCAGTAGTTTGTTTTTTTTTTTTTTCAATTTACAGTGCTACAGGGATTATTCAGACTCTGACCCCCTTCACCCACGGAGGGAGACTCCTCCTGCACGGAACCTTTCAGACCAGAAACCAAAGAGCCACCCAGCCTCGCGCTCTGGAGACCCCCTGCAGCGGTCAGCCTAGCAAGCTAGGGGGGATCGACAGCTCCAAGCTCAAATTAGCTTTGGAAATACTTCCCCAGAGTTTTCTTTTAGCTCTCTAACAATCTTCAGGGTAACTCTTGTCATAAAATTTACTTTTTCCCTTTGGTAGGAACTGCCATTTCCTCCTCCTCTGCTGTACTCCTTTGTGAAAACCAACTAAACCCACGGCTGCTTTAAAATGGTTTTCACTGTCACCGTACTGCCAGAGACCTGTTAATGAACGTAACAAATCAGTTCTGGGTATGACCCTATGAAAATTAGTTGCCTTCAGACAGCAGTTCCACTCGATTACCTATTTGATACTTCAAACCACTTTGCAGCTGCCAGAGTCTGAGCCAGGACGTGTCACATGCACTTTGTCAAGTGCCTGGATGGCTCCAGTGGATGCCGTAGTGTTATTTACATGCTCTCCCCCAAAAGCCAAGGATTTTGCTGGCTCCTGCAGGACTGACTGAGCCCCTCCTGTGGGGCCGGCCATGAGCGGAGCGGCGCTGGCCCAGGGCTGCTATCTGCAAGTCTGCAGCGCGGTGCACTACAGACGTGTTTTCCTGTACGGAGGAGCAGGCGGTTGTTACCGCCGCTGTGAAACGTGAGGGCACCCAGGGCTTCAGTCCTGCCAGCCCTGACACAAGGTGACAAATCCTGTTCCCATGCACAGCCCACCTCAGCTAAACCGCCCCCGCGCCGACCCTCCCGGCGGAGAGAAGGGGGCTCCTCCCTCAATCACCGCTGAATTGTTTCTAAGCGGTTTCTGTGTGTGGAAGGTGAAGCTATTACTCATTCTACCAAAACTTTCAAGGACCTGAATTTATTTACCCATTTAATAAACAGGAGGCTTAGTGCTGCTGAGAGAGGTCTGCTGAATTAAAACATACTATTGTATGTTCATAATTACATGGCTATGGAAAAGATGACACCTATAAAAGCAAGACACTTTGGCAACGGTTGCACTTTGTTATTCTTCCCTGGAAGAAAGAACATGAACAATGCCTCCCTCATGTCTGAGGCATTCTGGGGTTCAGCCTCTGGTATTTTCAACACATTCCTACAGTAAACATCTTACACTTGATACACGGAGTTTGCTGTTTACACATTCCATTTAAATATAATATTTGGAAATTCCAAACTAATTTAAAAAAAAAAAAAAACCCAAACTATAAAGCTGCTTAAAAATACGAAGATGAGATTTAAGTCACTGCCCGTAAAACGGTATGTTTTGCTGTTACATCTACAGCAGTATTATTAAAGCATACCTCAACGAAACCATATCTGTCCCTGGCCGCCTCAGCCTGAACGAAAGCATACATCTGTCAGTGCATTATTCTCCTCGACTCCGCAGCGATCCCTAAAATGATGGGACCAGAGGAGAACTACTAAGAGATCGCCAGTCAAAAGTTGAAGGCGTAGCAGCTGTGGGACAAACATCACAAAGAAACAGCCCTGCCAAAACGTTAGCACCCCTAGAAAAAAAGACTGTGAAACTGGAAACTGGTAACTAACAGTCTCTTTAAAACAAACAAGCAACAAAACAACAAACACCCCACCCTCCAACTCCAAACTGTAGACTGAACAGCTACTTAACCAAGTTTTCAGCTGATACTTTAATGATAAGTAACAACAGCTCAGTCAGAGATAATGTATGCTGTAACAGCAAGCAAACTGGCTGCTGATATGTGTACGATGTAACCTGCAAGTGTTTGGTCTTTATCTTGTAAGATACAGTGCTTTGTATGTATTAAAAAGGGAGAGCTGCTTTTTTAATTTGAAGAAAAATTACTGGAGGAGTTCTGCTATCACGGAAGCCAGTGGGAGTCATGAAGTTAATTAGACTTGGATGAGTTGTATCCAGCCTGATTCATCCCATTTCATGTATTTTACTAGCAAAATCTGCTCCTGAAATGCACTATGAGCAAAATACATACCTGAGAAAGCAATTTGGATTTTGTTTATGTGAAAAGTGCTGCAAACTTGTAAGTCATCTTTGTAATTTAGATGGGCCACTCATTTTTGAGAGGGGAGGGCCATGTCTTTCATATGAAGGATGAATCAAGGACATTGACTAGGATTTTAAAGGACAGTAGCACAACCTGATTAAGTGAGGAGAGAAGACATCTGCTAACAACCCGATTTGTGGCTGCTATCAACAGAAACGTAGCAGCTGGGAGCCGAGCTGAGCGGGGAAGGTGCAGAGTCCTGGCTCTGCCTGCAACCCCGTTCTGCCGTCTGCAGCCGAAACCTGACCGGCAGCCGTTTTGCAAAATACTCCTCCTGCAGAAAAGCGGTAGCATTAAAAAGAAAGACATCTGCAATACGCCGAATATCCAGAGTTCCCTTCCCCACCGAGAAGTGTAAATTCAGGTATCCTAGAAGGACTGTATGCTTCTGGTAGCACCAGGCATCACCTTGCCCACTTCCCTCTACAGCCGCCTTTATCCGAAAAACCAACACCTCACAAACTTTAATGTGCATCGTCCATTTCCCTGCTGATCAAACCAGATGCGGCTGTTTCGAGAGGTTTCCTGTTCGCATTGTCTCCTTGGGGAAGGTCACGGCTTTCCTTTGCTCTCTGGTCATTGAGCAGACATCCCATCCCAGCAGGAGCTCCCGTGTCACATTAGATACTCGGGAAAGGGTATTCTGCTTGCAGAAGCAATGTCTTGCAAGAATTATCAAAGTTCTAGTCTCTCTTATCTTGCTAACTCTTACCTGATAGTTTTACAACAGATTTCTCCGCTACTTAAAATTCACTACTTAAAAATTCATACTGCTAAGTTGTAGAGCCATCAAGTGCTATTTTTACCTGTAATTAGTGTTCCATTATACTTGTTCAGACAGTGTCCATATTCCAAACACTCATCCAAACCCCAAGGAAAGTAAAAAAAAAGGCACATAAACATTAAATATTTGTAGGAGAAACATAATTTGATATAAACAAGCAAACACACAGCTGCATCTATAAATTACAAAAAACCCCATAGAAACTAAGCAAAAAATGCAAAAAGCAACTCTATTTATACATGTGCAAATCAACTTGCATATATGAAATAAATGAGGTTTTTATTGGCATTTTTAAACAGTGTGTATTTAGCAACTTTACCTTTCAAAGGCAAGCCTTTTATGTTAATTTTAATAAATATGTAAATGCTTCTCTCAAGTTTTCTAATCTCGTAGGAACAAGATTTTTGAAAAAAACTAGGTCACATACAAAAATACAAAATTTTAAAACAAAGAATGTCTTGATATGAGAGATATGTTTAAAAGCTTGTAAAACATTTTTATGTTCAACTGTTGACATTTTTTTTCCCATCAATCACTGATCAATATATTCAAATGCAAGTCATGCAAAAACCTGATTTCTGAGTAAAGGAAGCTGCAAGCTTTACTGTCAGACTGGAAAACAGTAGCACAGTCCCACCTCTAATGTCCTTGTTTAAGTGCAAGAGTTGGACTACACCTTTAATTAGGAAGGAAAATATTTATGGAACTTGGACAGAAGGCTGCCCTCCATCCTGAAATGTGGAGATATATTATATGTTTTAGTAAATCATTCGAGCTCTTAAATAGTCCCTCACGGATCTGCCTGAGTGCTTATCTGCGGAAGGATTCACTTATCTGCCAACGCACGGGCGCGCTCCGCTGTGTGACGGGGCAGCGCGGCAGCGGGTTTAGTCAGTAATGTTTACAAAGTTGATGCACTTACAGTTCTCATATGATAGTCTCCTTTTACAGAAATCTAGACTCAAGCTGTATTTCATGGAAGTACTATTTCTTCTGAAAATAGAGTTTAAATTAATAATAGAGGCCTATCAAATTAGAGGTCTTGATTCTCTTTTCTTTAGGATTAATGAGTCTTCTCTATCGCTTTCAGCAGAAATAGGATCAGACCCAACCGGTTCTGAAGCCAGTTTAGATGTTCTGTCCCTGGCTGAGATGCAAGTGGCATTGGTGTTTGCTGTTTCATTTTTGCCAGTATGCAGTAATTCAGTTCAGTAGACTAGAAAGAAACAGTGCTACAGCATGAAAAAACAGAGCTTATAATAGACTCTCCCTGCTGTGGCAAAGGCAAACTTAGCATCGAGCAAAGCACTAGACCAGAAAATCTTATAATAACAAATACCAAAACCCTCCCGTCTTTAAAGGTTTAGAGGCAAAATAAAATGCGGTATGCCATGTGGACCATACAGTGGGGGGGAAAGAAGCAAATATGTATTTACAGCAAGGAATTACACTACAGCAAAAACTACGTGTTTTGCATTCTTTAAGTGCTCACATACAAATCTCTGTTTCCAATGTAATTCTATGGTATCTCATTTAAAACTGAATTCCTGCCTGAAGAACCTCAGGCTGAACTGGAAAAGGCAAGTTCTGCTGTTGCCTTTACTTTCAGCACCAGGTAGAAGTATATATACTTTGATACGCAGGATCTTCCAGTTGCACAAATATGCACAGGTATGCGGGCAATATTTTATATAAATACAAAATTAATTGTTGCACCTGCTCAGACCCATTTCCGATCCTCCTCCCCCAGCTCTTCCAGGGTATTAAAATGATTGTAAACTACATTTGTGCTGACTGGAGCAAATGCTGAGCTATGGTAACAGTAAGGATTTTCATACTAGCTTGTATTTGTTTTCTTTTCATACAAAAAGTTTGCCTCCCATTATAGGACCCAGCTGTTCTGTTTCTGGAAAATTACTCTAAAATACGGCAGATTTTATCATCATCACAACCCAGTTAGTGGTGAGCCTGCTGTTCAACAGCTCCCACATATCCTTCCTGGATACTCAACAGGCTCTCAGGATTAAGCTCCTGTGTATTCTCCAGCAACGTTACGGAGTGTCACAGGGTAACAGAGTCAGGAGTGCTGAGGCAGGAAATGAAAAACTTGAAAAAGCGAATTCACTGCTTTTAAATTGAAACTACAAATGTATACTGTTCTGTTCCCTGGCCTTGAGAATTTATCCATGATGAAATAGCATTTCCCTTGCTTGGTCTTTGGTAGGTCAAGAGATACATCAATATTCACACACAGATCATGAATGCCAGTTACAAGAAAAATCTGAACCCACCAGATATATCCAAGAAAGAAAAACTTAACGTATCTGTGCTTTTCATTGTTACCTGGTAATGTTTGTTAATCTTTATGAAAAAATCCTCCTTGATTTGATGTTTTTTTCCGGTATGGTCAGAGCACATCCAAATTGTAAACCTGCAGTCTACGACTGCTTTCAAAGTGTACTGCAGATTTGTTTCTCACTAATCTTAGCATATCATTTCCTTACTCCAAATGGTGCTGTCAAGCATGCCACCTTCAGCTGAAAATAACAAAAATTACCTCTCTAAAAAGAAGGCAGTTTAGAAGATTTAACTTGGTGCTCTAAAAAAATGAAGTTTGATTGGAATTCCAAAATCTTGAACTGTTTTATTCTAAATTTGTAACTGGTGTGCCTGCTAAAAAACAAAAACAAAAAAACCCCAACCAAACAAAAAAAAAACAAAACACAAAACAACCCCCCAACAGAAAAACAATCAAAGAACCCACGAGATTCATCAATGCTTTTCTTAGTAATTGTTTGTCTCCTCTTGTTCTTCAGAAAAAAATTCTCTTTAAAAACCTAACTAGTTATGAAGACATTTTACATTTCTACCATACAATAATTATAGTTAGCTTAGTTTAACCTTTCTATGTCATTCAGCAACACTTTAACTACTGGAAGCCGTAGCAAACTGAGGCTCTAACGATAATATTGCTCCAATGATGCTGAATACTTTTTTGCTTCACACAGTATTTCTAGTAGACAGACTACAACAGAAGCATGGGCAAATTCCAAGGATTACTCTCTAAATGGGACCAGTAAACTGTGACAAGTCCATTCCAAAAATGGCAGTATGTTTTTGTAGCTTTTCCACACTGAAGAATGCCACAACCCTAGTCAGTTGTCGAGTCACCAACATGTACCACACGCTGGCAACTGCCTATTTGCTCATTCATGATACTCTCTGTTTAGACTGCTCTGAGGCAGCAGCTGTGATGCAGACAATACCTTGTTGTATACAAAGATATTAAAAAAAAAAAAAAAAAAAAGGAAAAATTAAAAAAGAACTGGACCCAGATAACCCAATAACAGGGTACAGAGCTATCTTGTGATTCCGAGTTCTTGTGAAGTAAACCACTTTATAGCCATTCAAGCTAAAGCAGTACCCAAAACAGTGCACCCAGAATAAAATGCTAGTCCTCCCTCCCCTGCACCCCTTCCCTCAAGCACACTTTTTTCAATTTTCTACTGGAATGAAGTTGAGATCCTTTAGGTAATCATGATGGGGGATGTCCGAACTCAAAAAAGTAGGAAACACTTCACCTGAACAACAAAAAAAAGAAGTTTGATGGGTCTGGGAATTTTCTACAAACTATTCTGTGCAGTCATCTTCAAATCACTGTAGAACATGAAACGCATTTCTCTTCGCAAACAGATGAAGGAATCTGAAGAGTTACACTGCAAATGTTCTTACAGGAAAAAAAGATCAGTTAGCTGTTTGTTAGGAATCCCTCCTCTCTTAGTAGATAATTCTGCCCAGCAATGATAGCTCTGCCTGCAGCGAAAAACCTGGACAAAGTGCAGGAAGTAATAAGTAGCTCCTCTCAAAACTACTTACATTTTGTCCTCAACTCAAAAGAAGCTCTGCTGCTGCTATAGGCAGTCTTTACAAAGCGCAACCTGCCCCTTAATATAGTCTCTGCAGGGGCAGATTCTTCTGTGGGTTGGGTGGGATCCGGCACAGCTGAACAATAAGAGGTCACCTTGGAAAACACAGTGCTTCCTTCTTCCATCAAAAGAGGGGACCAGAATATCATTTGCAGACTCCATGGTGAGACATTCGATATTATGCCTAAAAAGCAAAGCACATGATCTGAATCACAGTGGAGTTTACAGGAGTACAGTTTTCATCCTTCCTTGCTAAAAATAAACCGCTATCTTACATCCTAAATCAAGTGCATTTAGAATTGCAGATTTCCAGAACTCTCGTGTCTTTTCGCCTGTGCAGACTCTCTGCAGAGGGCAGTGCAGCCTCTTCAGCTCTACTCAAGTTTCCTAAAGATTAATGAAAGAAGTTAAAAAGGAAAAAAATGCTTTCGACTGTTCCCCACAGCGTAATATTTAAATTCCCCGTGGATTTCTAGTAAGGCAAAACCAAAGAATGTGAATTCAGGAGACCCTCTCATTGCTCTCAGCAGGGCTCTCCCCCGGGCAGGGCCGGCGTGCCGGGGCGATGCTGCTGGGGCCCAGCGCGGCCGGGCAGAGCAGGACCCGCTGCTCTGAGGAACAGCTAGCAGGAGCTGGCTGAAAAAAGCAAAATTCAGGTTCCCATTTTCTGACCACAAAGCTTAGGCACGAGGGTAGCAATTCCAGCAGAGGCTTGTTTTTCACTTACTCTGGAAACACGGCTAACTTTCAGCATTTAACAGATTTTTTTTTTCCACAGAATTATAATTTAGTCTAGACAGCTAGAAAAGAAGCCTGACACAGTTTTTATATGAGCTGCTTCTGAACTCCACTGGAAATTACAACTTTTCAAACAAACTACAAAAATAAAAACCTTCTACAATTAAATTTAGCAGAAAGTGGACATAGAAAAACTAGAGAGCGAGCTCCCTAGCAGTCATTTGTTGGAGCCCAGCTCTGAGTGCTTTGTTTTCATTCTGAAGGGAACACAGACATACTCCCAAAGAGACAGCACCTGAAAGCAACATTAATTTCCTTAATGCATAGCTGGTAAGCTTTATAAATTGGTACTAATACCTCTAATGTACAAGGGTTTGCAATTCTTTACCTAGGACGATACTGACAAAAGGTTTGCAGAAACAGTAATTGCTAATTGCCGGTGACTGTAGATATTTCACTGTGGATGTTAATTGCGACCAAAGAGGGAGCTCAATAAATAAAAGCAACGCTTTGTGAGTGCTATATTTAAAATCATGTGAACAACTGATAGAAATCACACACTCCGTACAGAGCTCTATTCACTGCAACAAAATGCATTTCATTTCTGCCCCAGCTGACTGAGCGCAGTTAGGATCAGCACTGAGCCACGCAAGTTCCCTGACCCTCAGGATATGGCAGGAGCTACGGAATGGGTCACCTGCTCAGCCAGGGCTGCAAAGGTCCATCCAAACACAACCGCAGTCCTGGCACCCGCCACCCCCGCCGCACGAGCGTCTTTGCGCGGTGCAAGCAACCCCGAGGGCCCGAGCGCAGGGCGCTGGACGGGGCACACGCAGGGGAGATGGAGAGGGCAAGGGAGAGATTTTTGGCCTCCGTGCTGTACTTCTCATCACAAAAACATACGCTGCGTGGAACGGTGCTCTCAGCACAGCTGCAACTCCCACCAGCCACTGCTAGGAGGGACGGACAGCTAACCTCACAGCTGGCTGCTGCCAGACAGACAGCGCTCCCTTCTCACAGAATTCATACACTAAACTTCACGTGTGCCAAACCCCAGTGCAGTAAAGAGAGACCAAATAAAATATTTGTGCATTTAAGAACTTACCTAAGCAGAGCTTTGTCCTTGTTAAGATGCTGGAAGAAGGAAGGCTCGCAGATGAGCTGGCTTTCCTGACAAACTTGTTTACAGGATTTTCCAGGTTCAGCAATTTTTACTTGAAGGGCACTTAATGGGGGCCACATCACCTGCCCGTGACAGAAATCCTGCAGTGACAGATCATATTTTATTATGAGGCATCCAGTCCCCTGACAGCAATTTTCCCCATTAGGAAAATAAGTGATTATTATCACCCAAACACTCATTTTGCAGCTCATTTTCAATTAAAATCAATAGTTAAAGCACATTTAAAAAGAATAGATTTTTATGAGCATGACGGAATTATCACTTTCAATTGCTACTTGAAATGTGATAGTGTCATTCTTCCCAAAGGAGCTTCTTCCCTATCTTTACCTTTTTAAATTTATCGTAAGCCACTCTAGTTAGTCTCTCTACTTTCACACATCCAACCCATTTTGGCATTCTCAGTGGCTCCTGTTTCACTAACTTGGTGCTAGCAGAACTATTTTTGTAACAGCACAAATATCAGGAGGAAGTTCTGGAAGGAGAGGAATTCCAGAGGCCAGTTACCCTGTAGATGAGAAATGTCTCAAGCAGCCCATGTGGAGAGTCATGTGGAAAGGATCAGGGGACTCGCAGTGCTATGGAGTGAGCTGAACTCATAAAAGGCTGAAGATTTCTATAAAGCAACTGGGATTCAAAGAGTTTGTTTGCTCTTCTTGGCCGAACTGCAAGTAAAATTGCTCTCCCAACACTGAAAAAAAATGGCTATAAATAATGCATTCCGTCAAGTGTCAGAACAGTGGAAAAAGGGAAGGAAGAAACGATATCTGAACATACCTGCTAGTGAAAACTATTCAAAGACAAGTTCTTATGGTCTTGACATTTAAAATGAAAAAAAGGCAAAGAGAAAGTTTTAATAACTGGTTTTCTATAACATTCCATGATACTCAGCCATTATTTTAACATTTGGCAACTCTCATCAAAAGGTGATCAAAAAATGTGGGCCCAGTACATCACAGTTTGCTTTCTCCTAACAAAAGTAATACATGAACAGGTCCCACACTGTGACCCAAAGCTTAGAAAGGCTGAACTACATGAAATTTTAATGAAGCTAAGACCACAAATCATTTACCAGTTCTTAATACCAGTCTGGTGGTTTTTTTCTCTGTTTAGATTTCCTCTGCTGAAGGAGTTAGTTTCCATACTCCCAGATCTAACCATAAATTTATTATTATACAATCATGAATGACAGAATATCCTGAGTTGGAAGGGGCCCACAAAGATCATAGAGTCCAACTCCTGACTCCACACATGGCCACCTAAAAGCTAAACCATATATCCAAGAGCGTTGTCCAAACACTTCTTGAATACCGACAGCCATGACCACTTCCCTGGGGTGATGGCTGTTACAGTGCTTGACCAAACTCTCAGCGAAGAACTTTTTCCCCAATATCCATTCTGAACTTCCCCTGATGCAGCTCTAAGCCATTCCCTTGTGCCATGTTTGAAAAAAACCTAGCAATTTTAGAGAATATTTATGGCAGAATATTAACAGGATCTTAAAAAAAAAAAAAAATTAACAATAGATGGTTGGAGGTACTTTTTAATGTTGTTTCAAAAAGGTCATTTTGCTATTTCGACTTAAGCACTTTGCTTATTCTGTCCTTTTATAGATCATTATTTAAAATACTAGATGCAGGAGGAAATCTACATAGGTTCAAAATCCAATCCAATACCGTAATATATACTAATGTAATATATGCAATATAATACTGTAATATCAGATTGGATTCAAAGCTAGTGCAGGCAGAAGACAGAAGTTTTTCCAAGACAGTGAGTCACTTGTGAGGCTTCACCATTTGCCAGGGGCTTCAGCTTTTAACGTTTCTTAGTTGAAAATTCTTCACAGAAACTGGGCACAGCCTCCCCTTTCCAGTTCAGAGCTTGGCTGGAAGCCTTCCTCTGCTTACGCTGCCTTGAAGCACGTCTCAGAGCACACATCATCTTCACAGGTCCCAGCACACAGGGCCGTGTTTCAGTTTGCTGTCTCTGGCTAGTTTTCTTATCAACCACCAAAACCAACCTAAATTTTGTATCTTCACCCCAGTCCATCTTGCCCCACAACCCTACGTGCATAAGGCTAAAATAAAGAAAAGATGTTATGTGAAACAGAAGGTTAAGCTTCACCAGAGACTCTGTTTATGTTTGTTTTACCTATAACCACAATTTCAAGGTTGAGACAGGCTTAGCTCAGCCTTCAAAGGAGGTGTCCTCCTCCCTCTGGCTTTTCTTGCTCTTGGATGAACGTCCTGACTCCTCTCCCTTTGCCAAGCTCTGGTGCTCAGCTGACCCTCTGCTGAGCCAAGTCAGTTTGCTAACCTATAGAGCTCTGCCAAAACCATTTTCTGCTGGGTTACCAAATACTTCGCTTGACCACAGCTTTCAAAGTCAGCATGTCTGTTCCATCAGCCCAGCCTGCCTCATCCAACAGCTCCCAAGTTTGCAACAGGGAATCCCGCAGCGCCTTCGGTCGCAGTTGCCTGGCTGCCCCTTTGATGGCAGGGCCAATTTAAGCAGTCCCACCCTTTGGTTCTCACCCTACGCTGCTGCTTTGCAGAGCTGACAGGGCAAAAAGGATCAAGGGTTGGATTCAGTAGATGGCACAGATGCAGCTAACAGCCACGCTGGGCCGCTGGCAGGGGCACTGCACTGGCAGGAAGAAGCAGCTTGGAGTGAAATCTGTTTTAAACCAGCTGAAGGTGGCACTGCTAAATGTGAAACTGCAGCTCACAGTAGTTCTCTTACTTCAGCCCTAAGTTCTCTTACTTCAGCCCAGCTGTTGAATCTGAAGATTTGGGGAATTCACTAAACTTTTCTTGTGAACCCTGTCCTCCCTCCTGATCCTGAGCCAAGGCCTCAAAAGGGGAACTCCAGACAAATCCTTTAAATCTTAACAGTTTCACTGTCCCATAGGGTGACTTGTGGGTGAGCGTGGCTGGCCCCATCGTCTTCGCATTCCAACACCCCCTGAAAACCACACTCTCATGGTTAATCCACCCCACAACCTCTAAACCAGATCAGCTCCATCCATTTTTGTTCCTCTTCCAAGCCTGTGCTGCTTTCTCTGTTATGCCTGCCTCCCACCACAGACTCTTCAAAATAAGGTCTCAAATGCCTCTATGCAAACGCACACAGCAGGGGGAATAAACAAGAGGAGCTTGAGATGTGCACACACCAGCGGGGCTACGATCTTATTGGCATCATGGAAACATGGTGGGATGGCTCCTTTGTGTTGGGACAGCAGGATACAGGCACTTTGGGAAGGACAGGCAAGGGAACAGGGTGGTGGGGGTCACCCTCTATGTTGATGACCAGCTGGAGTGCATGGAGATGTGCCTGGGGATGGATGAGGAGCCAACTGAGAGCTTACAGGTCAGCTTAAAGGGAGGGCAGGAACAGGAGATGTTGTAGTGGGGGTCTGCTACTGGCCACCCAACCAGGAAGACCGAGTGGATGAAGCTCTCTACAAACAGATGGGAGCAGCCTCATGTTCCGAAGCCCTGGTCCTCATGCTGCATTTCTCCCTGTACTGACAAAAACTCTCAAATATAGCCAACTCAGGCAGAAGAATGAAAAGAAACAGAGATGCTTTTACAGGCTATGTCATCAATACAGCAGCAAAAAGCTTAAAGTGTTTATTGCCAGGAAACTGGAAATAGCTATTAACTACACATCTGACCTGAAGCTGTGTTATTCTTTATTACTGCCTTTAATACCGCCCGCTTTCAGAAATACAAGTACAGGAGCATGTCCAGTGTTTTTGAAAGGAATCCTGGCAATTAATTGCTATATCAGAGATATAGGTTATTCCTACATCTCTTCTGCAGCAGCCAGAACAAAAGGCAGAGCTGGCCGCTGCAAGAGATTGGCCTTGGGCAGAAGTCCAGGTAGACATACCGCTTCTAGAAATCAGGATCCCATGTAAATCTCTGCAGTTTATTACTCCAACTCAGTATCTTCTGCTGCTCTCAGCTGGCAATAATGCATGGGGACCAAAAATCCTTTAAGCAACTGGTTTCCAAACAATTTAAAGCTTTATCGATTGAAACTAAATACTAGAAAAAATTTTCCCGGAGGCTTTAGCCTAAGTGACATTCTATCACAAAAGCATCTATATTTACGTGATACTTCATGATCCAAAGATTTCTTGTGTGTACACAGTTAAACAAGTCACACATACACTGAAAGATTACTTTGCCTTCCTGCTTTGATATAACACCAAGGACTGCACAGCCACTATTGCTGCATGAACAGCAACAACACTGAGAAGCTTTAAAATGGAGAGGGTCCTGCCTTTCCAACATAAAACAAGAGTCATCCACAATAAAAGTTCATACCTGTCTTTCAATAAAAGCATTCATCCTCTGAAGCATTCCCTCACATGTAAATTCGTAGGGCAAATAAGGGTCAATCTGTGGAAACATAATGTGTTAAGGTTAGAGGGTTTTTTGTTTAAATAAACTTTGTAGTGTGCTGTGGTAGCAGCTTGTATTCTAAATCCTTCACTGTAGCTTAAGTAGCAACAATAAATGCAAATAAACTAACAAATCACGATTTCACAAAACCATCAACAGTTTAAGCTGATTTCTGCTACTTTATAAAGGCAATAAAGTTGTTCAGTGATTATCTTTAAGGAAACTCAGGGTATTCTGCAAAGTAATAGCTACAAAGCTAGCCTGAGACCCTACGGGACTCCAGAACTCGTGTTATAACTAAGTTTCAGCTCTGGAGTTGAAGTGAAAAAGAAAACATTATGACAAAAAGGATTGTGATACCTCTGAAAATTACTTCAAACTTCTTTTTTTTCTCCTTTAAGTGCCCTTATTACAGTTCCACACTGTAAGCGCACAAGCACTTCAGTGGCAGTTATGTCAAGGCTACAAAATCAGTCCAAAGAGTTGAGCATGTGTTTGGACAGCCCACAACGCTCCAGGAATCAACAAGGAAACTTCCTCATTGAATACACAGAAAATATCGATTGCTGTGTAATGTACATATGAAATGCACCTTTCTTTACAAATTCACTCACACATTTTTTTTCAGGTAAAACCCTGACATATCCAGTACTGATACATGGTAATCAGATACCACAGATACGTAATATTTTTTTTTTTCCCAATACCCTACTGAAGTGCAGCACTGTTTTACTTAGACTAATGTTAGGAAGCACTCTACATGTAGTACACAATACACCCTCGAGTATTGATGACAAACTGAGGCTGTTTCTCACCTTTTGATTCAAAATTGATTTCACAGCCTTCTCAACTTCAGAAAGATCATTGATGTCTACAGTCCAGACATGGGGCTTCCCAATGTAAACTTCAGCATAGGGGTGCTGAGATGTCAACTGAAAGGAACAAATGATATTGGTAAAAATTAATGTGTCAAGATACCCTTCCCTCTCTCTTCATCAGACTTTTTGGATGAAACGCACTAGGATAACACGAGAACTCAACTAGAATCTAACAGTCAGTGTCATTCCTTTATGAGTTATCTTTTAGATTTTCTGTGTTTAAATTGAGAGAGTGAATTTAGTTGGGAAACCGAAAACCAGATGATAATGCAGATCACAAGTAACATTTGTGCACCTCTGATTTGTGGCTTTGATCCTCATAACGACCCACATCACAGAAGACTTGATGCTTACTGAAATTACTTTTACAATGTGACCCTGCTTCCCCACAGCTCATTCACAGAGCAGCTCTGCGTTTTCACAACCTGTAATTGCTACCAGACCTGGTTAGACCTGCATGACTGGCTTCAAGAGATGTCATCCTCACCCTGTCTCACCTTCAGACAATGTTCTCGCCCCACCTCTCCTTCAAATTTCAAACATTTCTAAGCTTCTGTGAGGAGTAGTGAATAAAGAATCATTTCTATCACTTAGGATGAATTCCGACTCTCGCTCCTGATAGTACAAGAGTAATTTGACCTCAATAAGAGTCTTACCTGATATTTTGTACACCATTTTGTCAGAAAACAAATTCAATAAATACCCAAGTGGATAACTAAGAAAAGTTATAGCAGAGATTGCTTTCAGAACTAGCTGGGTGGCACTAAAAGTAATTTTTGTGACAGGCTGCACAGGAATGAGGAACATGCAAATGAGCACACTGAGAGGAAGCAAAAGCTGCAGAAGAGAGGGGAGTGTTTCACACTGGCCTCAGAAGACAACTACTTTTTAAATAAATACACACCCCACACACACCCCTTACAGGATAGATTATTCACAGACAATTTTTATACAGCTGCCTCTTTATCCATGATACAAAGAAAAATCTGGACAGTGCAAAAGATCTGAAGCAGGGAACAGTGCCTATTGGAAAGAGCCTTCTCCTGCTCTAGGCGTACACCATACTTGATCTCCTCCTCAAGTGAATGCAAGAAAATGTAAAAACAAAATCTTGCCTATTGCATTTTGGTTGGGGCTATGAGAAGCCAGTCTCATATGTGGGATCAGCTAGCATGAATCCGTGCTGTGCGAGCGGCGCTGCAGGGACCCTGCCGGCTCCCACCCCTGGCTGCAGGCAGCGGCGGGGCGAGAGCTCGCGGGCGGGCTGCGGGGCCGGTGACTCGGGGTGCTGCTCACAGACACCTCTCCTGGCTGCCTACACTCACCTGCAGCCCACTGCACTGTGCTCCCGTCGGCATATTCTAAATTCCTCCAAACAGCCCAATCCTTCTCAAAGACTGACCCATTCTAACCTTTTTCAATAGTATTTCTACAGCCACTAAAACTATACGTACTTAAAAATTTGGTTACTGGGCCTGAGTTCCCAAGGCACTTATGTCTGGACTTCAGATGGCAGAAGCTACATTCCTATTGCTTTCAGTAACAACAAAAAGCCTTCTACTGCACCTTTAAAAATATGAACATAAACCAGTGTTTTAAATTCAACAAAGCTTTAGGAATTATGCCTTAGACCACTCTTTCTCTACCATCTCAGACAGACAGATGGCAACATTAAAGCCCGATCTGATCTGGAAGACAAACAACCAAACTTCTCAGACTAGTAGCTGTTTTAAGCATTAAGAGTAACTAGCAAGATATTTTTATTGCACCAGTTATTCTACATCTATACTCTCAAAAAATATTAAGACTATTTCCTTAAACTGAAATGCTTTAATTAGCTGACGTTTAATGTTTCAGATATTCAGGACACACTCCCTCTGTCTATAATGAAAATCTGTAAGAATTCTTATAAATATATTTGGAATTAATTTTCTATTTTTTTTTTTTCTTTTTTTTACCTTCCTAAAAGCAGAAGATGGAAAAAAACCCCACACCCTCCAAGTATTCATTTCAACTAGATCTAGCATACAATGTTTTCTTTCTTTTGGGTGGAAGGGGAACACAGAACGGAGAAGAAATACTGGTACAAAACAAGCTGCTTGAAGGTGATTTTTGATTTTTCCCTGGCTTTTTCCCCTCAGTAAAATCATGTCCCAAGCCAAAACAACTGCTGATCTAAAATGAAAACTGTCATTTCCAGTTTTTGTTACTACAGGACCCCACCCTGGGGGTAGAGGGGAAACAGTTAACTCTTCCCCTTCACCCCCAGTAAATTCTACTTAGACTAAGAAAGAGTGACTTGCAATATTTACTTTACAGAAGTACTAAACACAGATTTTTATCTTCAAATTGGTCTATGGATAATCAATTTGCATAACGACACAAACTTTTTTTATTCTCCTTTAACACTTGAAAAAACTGAGACAAGGATTTAAGGACTTCCTGAATCCCAAAGAACCAGCACATGGATTACTGGCAATCGGATCTACATGCAGTTGTGAAAACCAGTTAGAGAAAAGGTTACTCTTAGGATAGGTCAGCAGAGCATGTGAACACAGCACTACTCGTGATGACCGTTCATTATATTATTTTGTACTAAAGCAGTCAATAGGGATTATTTTGCTGTGCAAGTCAGGTGCACAGCATTTCTATTAGTACCAACACATGCCAGCAGGATTTAGCACGGCATTCCAAGCACTAAAATTCCTACTGTAGAGTTAAGCGAGTCCAGATTATTTAGTGAGCCTGACCCGTCAGTGTCTAGGCACACAACAACTGGAAATGAGAGAAACAGATGAGCAACCCACAGAAGAAAAGCTTTGAAAGGTGCCATGCCCAAGGAGAAAGTTTAAACAGACTTCTTTTTCTGCTTACTGTTATCTCCTTTGTCAGCAGTGCAAGCTGTGAGAAGGAGAGAGTTTGAACTCTTGTCCTGTACAAGATGAATGCATAACCAGCTGAAAGGCAATTACAGTCCTGGATCATAAAATCCTAAGGAATTTACGTTCCTGGTTTAAAATCGGAAACTGTCCTTTGCTTATCAACTAGCTGGTGCTGCTCTGTATGCAATTTATATAAGCCCAAGCGTAACTTGAATTGGGAAATATGGCTATGCAAAGTTCTCATCACCTAAGTATTACCAGAGAGCTTTTCCTTCAGATATGTATGTAAAGAAAATATGTATATACACCTATGAACAAACAGGCAAAAGTGCCAATGTCAGAAATGGCTACCTAACTGTTAAATGCTTGCAAGTGACAGAGGTTGAATTTTATCTAAACTGAAGAAGAAAAATATTCCAAAGTCAGTGCCAGGATGAGGGGCTTGTTTACTTAGCCACTTTTTTCTCTTACTAGAGTCTAAATACACTGGCTGTTTTGAAAGCTTGAGGTTTGGTTTTCCTGTTCTCTCAGACAGTCAGTTCTCCAAACGTCAAGTGTTTAACCACAAACACAGTGGGCTGTGCCCATTAATACCTTAGCTGCCCAACAGTGCCTTAAGCAGGTCTTTTCTGGAGAAAAAAATAAAGCCCAAAACACATACAACCACCCACAAATGGCATTTTTATAATTTCCTCAAACACCTATTTACTTCCTGCACAGTACACAGTAATGTTTGCTTCTTCAACAAAATAAAACCGCTTTCAAATGACACATCACGTATCAGATGACACGATCTCTTCCTGGGTAGAACATCAGGTTTTCAAGTGAAACTTCAGTTTATGATCTATTGATAAGAATTAGCAGAATGTACATCTAGGCAAACCTAGGGGTAAAGCTTAACAGCATGTTAATAAAAAATTTTCATTATCCTATAAAAATGACTGATAATCCCATCGATGGCTAAAGAAAATGACAGTTGCACACCTTTTGCAATAAACTGTGAAAATTTATGCAGTTTTTCTATACTGTGTTATTAAAAAGAAATCCACAATATTATTCAATAAAGAAATTACCAAGATTGATAAAGCTTACCTCTCGGAGTGTAGGTTTGCCTTTGAAAAATTCTGTGTTCTTGCTACTTTTTGGTGGGTTAAATCTTAAATTTAGAAAAGCACATCCATTAGCAATAGCCTCTAAAGGAGCTGGCCCTTCGTATGGAAATCCAAGACCAACGAACAGCTGAAAAATAGAAATCAAGTACTATCTTACTTTTCGTTCTTTACAAAAACTGAAAGCTAAGAGCTAACTTAAACAATATTGCACTCTAAATGTACCAGCCTAAAAAAATATAACGTTAAGAAGAAAATTGGAGAAATTCAGCAGCTCGCCCCCTCCCACCCAAGCAGTAATGGAATGTCCTGTAAAACACAATTCGACAATAATCTTCTGTAATGAGCTGAGGTGGATTTTCATGGAGCTGAGGCAACAATAGACCCTTTCATCTATTTTTTTGGGGAAAAAAAAAAGTCATTTGGTGGTGTGACTCGTGTTGAAATAGAAGCGCTGGGGCTCTCCTGCAGGTACAGGTTTTACTACAGCAACCTCAAGGAACAGCTGCCCTAACTGCTTTCCCCCTCTCTCCCACATCAGCTAACCTGCTGGTTTTGCCAATATCAATGTGCCCCTGGCAAACTGATTAAGTCTTCTAATTAAAACAGTAGATGGCAGCAAACATCAGCTGAAGACACTGTGCCTCGGCAGCAAGAGCTTGCATAGGATTAAGAGGGTTCAATGCCTCCAAGGTAAACTGAAGGAGGAAAAATGCATCACAAAGCTATTCTTACATCAGCAGAGACTACAGGTGCTCTAGAAAAGGCAGTGCTTTTCTCCAATGTGAAGAAATTTAATATTTTTTCAGAATTGTCTGGCTGTTATTTGGGTCTTGACCCCTTTCCTGGCCCAACATAATTAAAACCCCTGAACAAACTATAGAATTCTTTATCTTTATTTGAATGCCTGTGTATAATGGGAGAATTACAAGTGTGATTTGTAACGGCAGTTCCTCAGCACTGATTCATGACAATGTATGTGTTTGTATATATATCTCTACTGTTTTTTTGAAGAAAATAAAGAGCAATCTTCATAACCATTAGGATCACGTATTCAGGATGTACGTATTCAAAGAGGTCAAATCATACTATTCTGCATTAAATTTTCTGCAACATGGAAGTGAATAGAAGATTCAAAACTGAAGGTCCTTTCTAGGAGCTGATCTTAGCATTGATGCATAAACCTGTCAGCAGTGGTTTTGTGCACAGGCATTGCAGCATCAAACATCTCCGACCCATGGCAACAACAGTGTAACATCTGAGTTGGCTCTTTTTAAAAAGAAACTTAACACTTCTCAACATAGTTGCAGACAAACAATTTTCACCGCATGGAGCTGAATATCATTATTTCCGTTTTCAATTTACAGGTTAAAAAAGACGCCTACTCGCAAAAAGTTTTTCTGCTATTTCACAGATTTAAATCTCACAGGAAAATCTCCAGTGGCTGATAAAAAAACAAGATTTGGAAGACTCTCACTGCTAAAGCTAGATTATCTAAATTTGGGGTTTATATATGGCAAAAGATATATTACTCTTCATGCAATCTGCACACATGATGTTACTTATTTAAACTACTCCTTAGTTCAGGCAGAAAACCAGCTGAGAACCAGCAATTAAAACCATCTGAAGTATCAATTCTCCTATGATCCTGTGTTTGTCTGTTATGTAGAGAATGCTGGTTTGTTTGCTTCATTTTTCACTTTTTTAATAAACTGCTGCTGTGCACTGCTGAACAGTTCTGTGTCTGACTGGTCCGTTTATTTAGGAGGAAGCTCCATGGGGAAAGAAACATGGTTTTATGTTTTGACAGCACAGAGCACACTGTCAACACTTAATCTATAATAAATAGCTTACCACCTGTTCCGCATCCATTTTCCAACCTTACCTCTAAGCAGCGCCGTGCCTTTGAAGAAAGAAAAGGCGGTTGTGTCTGAGCACTACAACAGTGCCTGTGTGTGTGTGTGCTGCCTGATGACCTGCAGTTGCAGCCTGGCTCCCAGCTGCCCACAGTCCCCACGGCTCCTCCTTTCAAACCTCCAAAATCTTCTATCGCTCTTCATCACATAGTCATCAGGTCAGTTGAAATTCCCAAACTGAACCTACACCCTGCTCCTGAAAACTGCCCTTTTTTAACATTCCTTGGTTATGGAGGTAGCATTTTTGTATGGTATGAAGAGCAAAACTGAGGAATAGCTTAATTGCCTGAAGAAAGTCACATTCATTACAATTTAAAAATCAAGGATTAGAGAACACAGTTCATTTCTGTAACTCATGGTGCTCTAATCTGCTAATCCTTTGAATTACAGTATCTTGTTATTTCCAGAAAGGCTAAAACAATCTGTCACGGTACTTCCTAAAAGTATGTAAAAAATGCTGCAAGTCACTAATTGAAAAAGAAGTGAAAAAAAAGAAAAAAGTAGAAATAACAGGCAGCAGTTTTCAGGTATGAGTGAAGCAAGCATCCATCAGTACAGCTGAGGCTGTATGAAAGCCAAGGCTCTCTCCCACAAAACAATAAAGATTTAGAACAGACTGTTTCCACTATTTTGTGATACAAATGTACGCTGTTGCCTCTAGCACGTAAGGAGCTGACTGTGGCTTTTAGGGTACTCTCTTACTGGATGCCCCATCTGGTAACACAGTCCACCATGGAGGTGCACCTTCACCCTATGGCTGAAGATCTATAACACAAAACTCCACATTTGACAATGCTGGTAACGTAACTGTGGATACACATGGTTCAGAAATGTTAGCCCTGATCTTACTTTGTTAACTGCAGCAGAATCGCTATGTAGAGTAGAATTCCTTTATGCTTTACTGGCTGATTAGTGCTTGAAACAATTTCATTTTCTGTATGTGAGCATTTTTCTCATCTTTCAAATGTTTTTGAAAGCCAGAACCATTATTTTTCATACAGTGCTTTAAGTGGGCACATGCCACCGTAGGCTCTGTATGCTAATGCTCCATACAATGAGATGATTGCCAGAAGTATTTTACCGTATAAAGGTATATCTAAAGGAGATAACAGCAAATAAATACACATGCAAAATTATCATTGTAACAGCAGTGTGGGTTTTTTTCTAAAACCATATTCTTGTTTGTAAGGTCTGCTACCTAGGTGTGTCTGTGCCTGAAGGTTTGTATGAATCAGAAATGGGGATTTGTATCTGTACTGCCTCCCACTTGCCCAACTTGAGTAAAGCAGGTGTTGAAACCCTTAAGCAGGAATACTTTGGTTTTTGTAAGAAAGGCTTCTTAGGAACATTTTCTGCCTTTGCAGTGAACTAAAGCCCTGGTTTGGAATTTCAGGCTTTTGAGTTGGCCACCCAGCATCAGGCCAGCCAAGATTCTTTTCTGATTATAATATAAGCAGTCCTTTCATGGTGTAGTAGCGAAGTGGAGACTTCTCTGACATGGAAAGTGCTTTACAACCACTCCTGTGAAAAAGCAGTATGTTTTTGTTTTATTTTTTGGAAACCACTGACTTTCAGTTGACACTAAGCAATTTATTTGTGGAGTTTACGGCACCAGATAGGACTATTATTAAAACTAGTACTTGAACAAACAGTCTTTCTAAATTACAGACAAAAGTATAAAATAAGAAGTTTTACTTCACTGACTGTAATTCTGACTAGCTGCATATTTAAGAGAAAAATTTCATATTCCAGAGACTAAATAGTTTCATAAACAGGAGTGTTTATCTTCTTCTCTCCCCTTTCTAACATTGCTGCACTTTATCTAATTTATTCTGTTGGGTTGGAAGGTTTATCACCACTTTTGTATGCCTCCTTACTGAACTTATATATTCTCTTATGAACTACAGAAACAGAAGTGTAGCAAAGGCTGCTGCTAACTACCTTGATATGCTTTTCTCATGAATATAAAATACTTTCTGGAAAAGTCAATCCTTTTGTGATTGAAACAGCTTTAGAGTAGAATCACTAGTTAAATGCCTTTTAAGCTGATTTTATGAAGTGTGTGGAAGTAAAAAATATATTACTTCATAAAATGACATATTAAAAAAAGAAGTTTGTTTTCCTATTTCTGCTTATCCAACATTGCAATGGGATTTTTCCCAAACTGTCTAAAGAAGGTGTTGCTTCTACTTTTATTAATCACCATTCAGAAATTGTAAATTCCATTTAGTAGAAGAATTTAGATTCCCTCAAAAATTAACAGTGACTTGAAGTAAAAAGTTGCATCTGAAACTTTCTTGAAAGGAGGGATATTTCTCAAGAATTCAGTACTGGTTTTTCCAAGAGAGTCTGGTCCAACTACTCCAGCTGCCCACTTGGCAAGAAGCCACATAAGTTGGCAGGAAGGCTGCCAGCTCGCCTACCCTATTTTCCTCTGACGTGATGAATGGCTTTACATCTTCTCATTAGGAACTGTTGACATGTCTCGTTTTTGTCATGCACTACACAGCTGAACTAGCCACGGTGAATCTCAAATAGCCCCCTCCTGCTTGGAAAATGCACTTATTCTGAGATGCGTTGCTTTATAGCGCACACCAGAATGAAATGGCAGCTGCATGCTTTTGAGAATAACTGTCTCCTATACCAGCTACTGCAGAAAGACCACATACATTTTGGGAATGCAAAGATCTGATCAAGAATCGTGACTGAGCCATCACCTATTGGTATTTTGCTGTCTAATGGCAAAATGAAGCAGTGCAACATAAACTGACACTTCTGAGTACACTAAACTGTGTGATTTGTTAAATTATTATTTAGCTCTGACTTTCTGAAAACTAGATCATTTGTCAGCTGACCTAACAAAAACTTGCTAACACAATGTTGAAATCACAAACAATGAAAGACAATCCTTGCCCTTGGATTTGAAAACGTATGTTTAGTAAAAGAAGAATGTAAGTTTCTGGAAGCTTAAAGACAAAGTTTGTTGCTTGGAGACAGCAAACAGCAGGCCTAGATGGTTCAAGTGAGCATTGTACCCACAGATGTTACCATCCCTGAGCTACGGCTCTGATTATTCACATACTTTCAGAACACTGATTGTCTAGTGACAAAACCCCATAACTAAATTCATTATGAGGCTCTGGTCACGTTGCCTAGTGATTAAAGTGATTACGATTAAAAAGTGTCCTTGAACATCACTGGATGCATGTGCACACATACACAAGGCTCCTTGGGGTACAAAGCTCCTATTTAAGTCAGCTTGATTTTTGTGGAAAACCTGCATTTATTTTAGCAATTCAACCCATGATCCATTTGATATATATAAACACAACTGACCCACATATGCAGCAGATGGCCAGCAGAAACAGGTGAGTGGTGTTTTATGCTAAGCTATGTTAAAGTATTACCTTTTAAAAGATATCAAAATCTGAAACTGTGAATGTACAGACAACAAGAAGATTAGAGCAAGTATGTCTGTTGATCAACACTAAGAGGCAACCATATGCTAAGGCAGAACTGCCAGTGTACCTATGAGATACTACACATCAGCTAGCAAAAAATAACAACGTGAGAAACAACCCAGAAATCAACCTCCAACTGAAAAAGTCCAAACCAATTAGATCATAAATCTCAGCTTCCACTTTCAATCTCAGGACTCTGCTGTTTTACTTTTTCTGTTAAACTAGATATATTGGAAGAAGGAAGTATTAGACAGGAATAATAACTGAAATGCATGATGCAGTGAGCCATATTTCATTTCATTTTGTTGCAACATCAGAAACACATTACACTCCCATTTGCCTGACAATAATAAGTATTAGGAGAAAGGGGTGGACTCTTAACTCCTTGTCATCAGGTCAAAGTTTTGTTAGCCTGACTGCATCATAAATAAATAATTTCCCTAAAAGGAAAACAGCTTTTCCTTTTAAGTTGTTTCCTAACAAAAGCTCAGAAAAACTGTATGAAATTACTGGTTTTAGACTTAAAAAAAAAAAAAAAAAAAAGTTTAAGAAAGCTTGTATCAAAAGATAATGTGATAAAAACACTGGCTTCCTGATACAGAGCTTTGAAACGTATTGATGTGTTTTCTCAGTGCCATCTAAGAAATGCAGCAAATTCTCAAAGCATTTTCCCCAATGTTAGGAAGAAAAAACGTAAACCAAAGCACAACAATAGTATAGAAAATCATTAAAATCTAAAATGCTTGTAGGATTCTGAAAACAGTATGGCATAGATCCATGCTTTTCACAAAAATACAATTTGTGAAAAATAAGCAACTTGCTGATTTCAAGGAGTACTTGCACAATCACAAGATAGTATCATCCATCTGATATTGCAATTACTAGTCAAAAACTGAGTGAAACTACCCTGGCTACTTCCTGTGTCACAAAACCCACATAACTGCACTGTGCTGAGCTGCTTAATATGTATGTATCAACTTTAATTTGTCCTAAATTGAATGTGTCCTTACATTGCACCTTAGAGCACAGAAAATATAACCAGTAACTATAGATAGAGGAGCTATCCACTTAATATTGAAAATCAAGCTTTTTAGTGTAATACATGTTAAATGGCTGCGAAAGACTTGAGGAAGACTTACTCAAACATAACTATTATTATGTACTGCACTTTGTAAATTATAAGGACTTCAGTAATTCTACAGAAGTCCATTAGCTTATTTTACTACTTCCACGAATAGAACACTTTTTATTTTCAGAAAGAAGTCACTGTTTGTGCTTGGGGTTATTACAATGTCAATATTCTTCCCACATTAGTACTATGATTAACACAGTGATTTCATATTCCACACACGCAAAAGCTGTGCAATGTCAGTATTATCTATGACGAAAGTAAATGTTGACTTTTTAATCTGCAACATTATGTGTATCTGTATGTATCCAGTACATAGACACAGTGGTTTCCTTTAAAAAGTCATAATTTGCCAACAGCTGTCACACAGAGATGGCAAATTACCATCATTTTCCCAAATATTTCAAAAAGGAGATCTCTGCAGTTGTGTGGGAAGACTGGGAGGTGCTTGCTTTTTCTTCTTTTTTTAATAGATTCTTCTGCAGAGGTGCACAGCAAGAAACTATCAACAGTGGGAAGTGGTGCAGTTCCACACATTTTGCTAATTTTAAACACACAAACCACTGCTCTCACCAACTGAAAGTTAAACATCCTATTTAAACGTAATCTACTAAAGTGTTTTAATGTTGTGAAGTACCACAAAGAATACGGGAATGGCACAGAAGAACCGCCAAAGCATTCTAAGTATGGGGACAAAAGTTATTTATTTCAATGTATATATTGTCCCTTATCTTGAGTTCCCTTGACTATGGGGCCACAGGCAAAGCACACCACAAAAAGCACACTCTTTTGCTTGTTCTCTCTGCACAACTGAAGTGGAGGAAGGAACAGAATGGTAAATGAAGTGCTTGCTTTTCTTCTTTTCTCCTGCAGAGAGTAGGGTCACTCTAGGTTAAAGTCATCGGTAGGGCAGAGCAAGCATGCCTACTGTACAGCTTTCAGGTACTACCTAACTTTCACATCAAGGATGTGAAACAAAGCACATTCTCAGCTGACAATCTCCTTAAGCCAAATATCATGTTTAAGAAAATAAAAAAATGCATTTAACCATGTTTCTCAAGCTGGTTGTTAAATGTGTCTGTAACCGTAGGTTGTCATCCCTATTTTCAAATAATAGCTGTCAATCCACAAAACATGGACGTGATGAGAAACATTCTTAGCACACACAAGACAACTTAAGCTCCTTTACATTTGATCATTTATTTTTCCAATGCTTCTAAATTAGGAGCTCATTCGTAGGAGGTGAAATGCATGCATTTCGGATACTGTCTGTCTGTAGCTATTTCTGCCACTACTCCCTCTTGACAAACTTACTTTGGTTTCTCTCAGTAGAAACTGCAAATCCCGCCCACTGAGTATACCATGGTTTTTTACGTAACCAGGAATATAAATGGTGCTTGTCCCGTGAACAGTTCCATGGACTTCCATATAGGTGTGGATGATGTCCAGATAAGCCTTCTTATCCTGTAATAGCAACAATAAATTATTTTTAGTCTTTACACATTTCAAGCAGTAGCATTCAGTCAGAATTGTTTTTTAATCTCCTGTACCACAAAAACCAGAAAGAGAAGAAGTTCATTAATTCTTATATGTTCTCTATGATACTTGATCTTTCATTACATTATTAGTTTTGCTTTCTATAGACTGGAAGAAAACTGCAGATTTTTTTGTTCATAGTATAAGTAAATCAATATCAAGGTCCTATTAATTTCTAGTTGGACAAAAACCAGGTCAACATCAGATAGCTGTAATCTCAGCATGCCTAAACAATACTTGGCCTAAAAATACTAAAAAACTCATTTTGAAATATCAAATTTTCACTGTTTTTGTCAGAGATGCAAAATATTTAGTTATTATAATCTTTGTAAGGAAAAGATAAATCTCACCTTAGTAAGATGCACTCTTGTCAACTGAATAACTGAATACACATCTTTACCTAAATACCCAGTATCTGAGTCCCATGAGATACAAATATTCCACTCACCTAAAGTTTTAAAGGCACTTTGGAAAAGACCCAGAGAAGAGTAATGGCGTTAGGGATGTATTTGAAAAAAAAAAAAAAAGGCAAAAAAGCCCCATAGTACACCCTCCTATTTTACAAACAAAAATTACTTTAATTTTCAATGCCATATGTTTTTTGAGTTTTAAAGACTATCAGCATTCCAAAAGCAATTAGTTGTAGACTGTATTTACAGCCAGTATGCAGCACAGATCAGAGACACTTTTTCTCAATATTTGCACATAGTCTTAGTAATAGCTCTAAAATCAGGCAACAAGTTTCTGTACTTCTTGGCAGCAAGAGAGTTTTTAAGAATTCTGCTTTCACTCACTATTTTGTCATGTAAATTTGGTACACTGTTCCTCCACAGCCCTGTGTGAAAGCTGGCCAACAATTTTAGTGAAGTTCATTCAAAGGGCAAGTAGACTGGTGAAAATCTTGTCTTTTCAAATCTTGTAGGAGCAGTAAGGTATCAGGCCTAGCTGAATGAACATTATCGCTTCTTAACACTTCTTTGCTAAATTGATTGTTGATATACTTTCAAACACACAGCTTATTTAATGTCACATAATAACTGGCTTCTAGCTTTAGCTTGCTCTACTGGTGATGCTGTTTGCAATGAAGTAGGTTGCCTGCCTCATTATTAAATCGCCCTGTTCTGGTAGCTGTGCCAAGGCTGCACCTGTCAGACAATGTCCTGGGCTAAGTATTACATAAAACAGCATACAAATGGAGACAAAACTGCCTTTTTGTTTGATGTGGCTGCTGTTATTGTTAATTAACACAAATTATTTACAAAACGAAAAGCTTGCTCCATTTTTTATTTTTCCTTTTATTTCAAATTTTAATTACTCTGAAAGAGATGTTCCTCCCATTATTTGTAAAGTAGCATAATTACAAACTGCTCTCAAGAAGCTCATGTATTTTGTTAAGAGAAAATTTCTTGTAGAACTTTTTCTTTGTAAATGTGCAGGAGGAATACAAATGGAGTAGCCTGGTATTGTTTCCAGAATACAGCAGTGGTTTGTCACTGGAGGCATACCTTAATCCTGCCTGCCTGGCTTTTAGAACAAACAGAGCCTGTGAGTTAATGTTTTGAATGGGAAGAGAAGTCAGTGAAAGACAGGTACTGCTGACTTGATGTGCCCATAGTAAGAACACTAACGCACTTGCCTCAGATTTTATTGGCTCATGTCACACAAACTGATGACATGAATGCTCTCTAACTCAAGAAAAATACAAGCAGCAGGCAGCTAGAAAGAACAAAACCAGGATTACCTAAAATTGCACTTATTTTAATGATTTCAACAACAATTTTACAAACCTGTTACAGAATATTTAGCTGCTCTAAAAGAAAATATTTGTCACTAAAATTATTTAGTCTTTACAATCTTTCTAATGGTTCCTGAGAAACTCCACTGGCTGTAGGATTGTTGAAGATTTTATATAGGTTCAAAATGCAATTACGGAAGAAAAATCCATGAGTCATTATTGAACAGACACACGCACCTTTTGGCCCCAAAAGTCCATGAACCACTTGTCTCTGGTGGCTGTGAAACATGCCTGATTTCACATACTGCCTTACACATCAAGTTTTGGCTATTTTTGGAGTGACAATACCGGACTAGATAAATCTTTGATCTGAACTGGCCCTGCTACCATCTTACTATATTTATTAGCTCATTTTCAAAGATGAATGTAAAATGGACCAAAAGAAATGGAGCATCTTCACATGCGTCCTGTTTATATGCGATGCCAATAAAAATCTAGAGGGACTCTTGAGAAGCATCTGTGAAGTTCGTTGCTTAAATTATGCTGGAAACACTCTGATACATACAATGGACCTTGAATTTAGCTCAAAGTATTCCCCAAATCATCTTGTTAATAATGAAGTGAATCTTCGTGCTGTATCTATGTGCCATCCCCTACACAAATACCGGCACTTGATTGCTACAAAACAGGGAACAGAGAATTAACAAAAAAAAAAAAAAAAAAAAAAAGGAGTATACTAAGAAAGGATGAAAAGAACAGGCTCCCAAGCTCTATTTACAGCACTATTTTGGAGGGGCAGAGGGAGGGTTTTTACTTAAAGTCTTAAAGTTACAAAACCATGTAATAAATATTACTAATACATTTTAATTAACCAAGCAGATATACAAATTTATACTTAATATATAACCAATCAATACAATTTAGGAAGGCAAAGCAAAAGCAGTAATAAAATCAGCATGTTTTAGGCATCTGTGCAAGTACAAACAAAATATTAAATTAACTATCCATAACCTTAATTGGGAACATTACTTAAGCATATGACTGACTTCTTTCGTGATTCAGAGTCTAAATCCACAGATAAAACATTTAGTATCCCAAACAGCATCAATTCTTTCATAGATAATATTTAGAAAAATAATGGACTTTTAAATGGTGTCACTGGGTTCCCACCTCCACAAGATAGTGTAACTACTGTAGACAGTGCTATAGAGTCTATAGAAATAATTTTTCTTCACAGATGAAACCTTATAGATAGATAGTCATAAGGGATCAATATGTAAAAATTTATGAATTAGTTTTCAAACCACAGGAGTCAAAACATGAAAAAACAACACACGCAAGCTGAGAAAAATCTTTCATCCCTCAAAGAGCAAAGCTCTTTGTTTTAATCAAATAAAATTTTTAAAGGACAATCGGAACAAAGAGCAGCTTATTTCCTTTATACCCTGTTCATAAAACAGTTTTAAAAAATCTTTATTTTTGAAGGAAACAAACCAAAAAAAGCCCAACCAAAACCTCAGAAAGCACAATCCACAAAACAATCACTCCATTATTCCCTTATTCACTTTGAGTCAAAAGCAACTGCTTTCATAATCATCTACAAAGTACCATAAAAATACCATTAGCACCTTATACCTCACGCAAATCTCACTAACATTTGTCTCCTTTTGCATTCAAGTAGTCCCGAATTTCCACATCTCTTGCAGAAAAGTGTTATTTTGGATCATAAAGGTATATATTTTAAGAAGTCACTTCACAAAAATAATCAGGGCATGTAATTCAATTGTAAACATTAAAAATATTGACTTAGAAAATGAGATAGCATAAATATGGCATTTATAAATAGAAAGGCTACAAGTAAATAAATTGAGAAATGTGATCTGCAAACAAAGTACCAACACTCCTTCAACTGCTAATCCACTTCCTGAGTTTGGTTGCTAAGATGTAGATACAGATATTATCTTAAAACATTTGAGAGTAAACTCCAGATTTTTACTTTCTGCAAAATGAATTCAAAGAGAAAATATCACAGACTGCTGGCTAGTAAGGCAAAATCAACATCTCTGCAGAGTTTGTATCAGACTGTGCTGTTCACCCATGTCTGCTATCCATACTGCAAATCTAGACTTCAAGCATGAAAGATAACCACATCAAAAAAATGCAAATTATTTCTCCTCAGAATAAAAATGGAAGTGTAATGGCGAGTAACAGTCATACAAACCTTTTCTGAAACAATTTTTTAGCAGCTAAATTAATATGCCATTCAAGATAGTACTTTTTGTTGATCATTGACTGCAGAACTGTTATTACTGTTCGTCAATTATTTCCACCTACTTTTAAAAGCATCAGGATAAGGCCTTTCTCATCAAAGAAATCAAATGACAGCTGTCTGGTAAGTCTTTCCCTAGGACAGTGTTGACAAGAAGAAAGTCTGAAAGGCTAAAATTTTAAGTTTGGTGGGTGAAAAATTTAAGTATAAAAGCTACAAAAATACGTGGTAGAAACACGATGCATTAAGAGCTAAACTCTGCTTTTAGTTTTCTTATTGTAGTAGATGGTGGTAATTAATAACTCTGCTTAACCCCAGTTTGTCAGTCTGAGATAATTACAGTATTTTGTAATTTTAGACCATTCAGGTACCCTCACAGAACGCCAGAAATTCAGCACTGAATGAAACTAAGCACCACACGTGCAGAAATGCCAACTACATTACAGAAAAGCTTGGTTCAGAGTCCTAAACTGATTTGTGGGTTGAAAGTTCAAACTGCAGAGTGTATGTAAAACAGCCCATATACCCAGTCTCACTTTCTTACATTGAAAAATTCAGAAGACAATGGTTTTATAAAGCGTGACAAATGGAACTCTGAAAATTAAGTACTGGGATAGATCTTTGTGTATATCCTAAATGTATACCATTAAGTCTAGAAGTCCTAACATTTGGCTGGTTATTTGCCAAAGTCCAAGGTAAGACAAAATCCAGTGTATTTGCAATGTATGACAATTGAGATTGTGACACAAACATAAGATTGGAAAATCTTTCTTTTCAAGAACTGTCACGCTCTCAGCGACTTTAAGACTTCATGTCTCAAATACATAAAATACACATTAGCACATACATATTATTTATTTACACATATGTATTCTTTGCACAAAGAATGAATAAAATATGTCAGTAAAGACTTGGGTTCTTCAA